GGTTCCACCTCTTCTTTTTAACTTCTCTCTTGGGCTTCTTCTCATAGACTGAATTCTCTCGTATAGCAACATGAGCTTTTTTATACATCTCCTCCATCATGTCTGGAGTTACGTTGTTCTTTATGTACTGAGAGAATTGTTTCTTGTAAGCGTCTTCATCTTCTTCCATTAGATAACGCATATAATCTGCAACATTCTGACTCATGATGTGTTTCCGATGTACTTCTGCATTGAATTCCTTGCTTTCTGAATCATAACCAGGGAATCGTTTGGTATTAGCTTCTAAGAATGAACGGCCTACAATCTTATTTCCAGTTGAAAGTTTAGAAATCTGTCAGAAGCCTTTTTCTCAAACTTTTTTCCTGGAGTCCATTTTTCCATAACTCAGTTAAGCAATTTTCTTTCTGTGAGGGATAGACAAGCCTCTGTCCACGGCTCCCTTCAGGGCCCCAAAAACTTTATTTCCAGTAGTAGTTCTGGCAAGCCCTGCATCCAAATAGCAGGTGAAGGCACCAGGTTAACCATCAATGCTTTCCACATTGTATTCATCTCCAGTCACCTCCACTTGACCTTCATAGATCTTGTCCATGCCAAACCTATTGAGAAGCCTGTGGGCCAGCAGTAGACCAGTACAATATGCTGCAGCATAATTTGTCAGGCCAACCTTCACACCGTATTTTGGGAGTTCATGAGCATAAGCTGCACAAACTATCATATCTCCTTCTATAGGGGCATACGCAATCTGACAAATGATATCTCTGTTGGTTACACGAACAATCATCCTATATTTGGGTGTGTTGTACTTATTTTTATCCTGGATTACCAAGCGTTTCCTGGCATAGTAATCAGTTTTACCCTCACGACGTCTTCTAAATTTCACTTGGTATCTTTTGAAGTAGGCCTTATTCTTCACAACCTTAACAAATCCCATCCTGCTGAACAGAGACCAGCGTCCGCGGCTCGCCACAGACCTACAGGCCCAGCTCAGCTCCGGGAAAGAAAAGCTGACAGATTTCTTAACTTGATTACATTTATAATATACATCCTCAGATTTAACTCTGCCATTCACCCTGATGTAAATGAAACGTAATCCAATCCTATTATAAAATCATCCTATGAATTTGTTTCCTTCAGATTTCCTTTTAAAAAATAGTGTTGTGGATAGATCTGAGGGTCTTTTGAAGGTAGATTATGGAGATTATAGGGTATTATGGAATATTGCCCACCAGCCAGTCAATGAAAAATATCCAGCCTAGGAGAAAATTTATAAGAATTTATTTGAGCCAAACTGACAACAATTGCCGGGAAGCAAAATCTCAATGGACTGAGAAAATGCTACAGAAAATGGCTGTTTTGCAACTTATTTTATACATTAGAATCAAAGGAGGAAGGTTACATGAAATCTACTGGTTGTAGATTACGGGGGTGGGAGAAAGGAAAGCAGGGAAATCTCTGGGATTGGATAAAAAGTAAAATGGAGAGACACACACTTCTTTTACATTGGTGGGTATAGCATAATTAATAGCATTTTACAGCACATAGAAATAGTATTTGGGGAACAAGATAACAATGAAGGATATTGTAGTTTCCTGCTCTGGTGTTCTTCCAGGCATGGCCATTAAGCCTCTGGGCCCTTTCCCTCACTAGTATAACCCTCTGGACAGACAGAAGCAATGGCCACGCCTTGACTAAGGGTCACAAGTTAAGCTAAAGATAACATCATGGCCTAAGTTGTGTTTCAGCTCCTGAGCCCTGAAGTGGACAACACCCTGGCCACATCCTCAGGAAACCAGAGTGAATGATGTGGAAGCCAACCTCAAGACCTGAACAAATTGATGAGACGATCAAGAGTTAACAGAATGAGCTCGTGAGCTGGCAGGAATGAGCTTAAAGATTAACTGCTTGGGTCTGAATCCCCTGGCCAGCACTGCAACTGCAAGCTGACAAGCACCTTACATCCACATAGGTGGGAACAGAACAGTTCCCAATCGCAACAGCAACCCCCTGCAAGCTGACATCCATCATAGATGGAAACAGGACAGTTCTCAAGGGGAGACAATTGTAACGGCACCCCCCCCCTGCAAGCTGACAAGCACCCCACATCCTGCATGGAAAAATATGAAATCCCAGCACTCCTCATCGACGCAGCTGTCTCCATCAGATTCTGCCCTGGCAAACTTCTGCCAGTATCTCTCTTACCCAACCCTCTGACTTGGTAGCTCTTTCTGTAAACTGCCCAGGCTAAACTTTTTTTTTATAATATATTTTTAAAAGATTTTTATTGGGAAATTGGGGGAGGGGAACAGCGTTGGGGAATTGGGGAAGGGGAACAGACAAGTTGCTGTTCTTTTTGTTATTCAGTCTAGTTGTGGAGGACGTCGCTTCACTGGCCATGTTGGTATTATCATTGCACTCTTCCCAAGTGAGGCAGATCGGTCGCTGGATACTATACAGCAGCTCACGGTGGCTCTTGGCAGCTCATACCAGCTGCCGGCTGCTCACACTGGTTGCCAGCCACTCATGGTAACTTATTGCAGCCTACGCTGTCGCTGGCGACTCATGGTAGCCCAGCTCCAGGTTGAGCTGCTGTTCCCATCTTAGCTGTAGAGGGCACAGCGTCACTGGCCCTAATGTGGGATCTGAACCAGGGCCCTGCTGCTCAGAGCTGGCGTCCCAAGCCAACTCTTAACAAATGCCCCATTCGGCCGGTCCCTGGCAAAACTTCTTTTGCCAGAACTCTTTCTCTCACTTTTTGACTTTCAATAAATCTTTTCTTACTCTTGTAGAGTTTTGCGAATGCTTCCATGTTATGCAAACGACCAGGTGTTAATTCTACACCAATGCATTTTGGTGCCGATACTAGGGAGCTTGAATCTACTTCCCCCTCTCTGTGAATGACCAGGAGTTAATTCTACACCAATACACAAATTACCTCACTCTTGACCCATCTAGAAGACCCATGACCCCAAACCTCTTGCTCATGATGACTTGTGATCTTTGCTCTATAAAACCTCTTGTCTGTAAACCATAGAGGAATTGGGCTTTTGAGCATTAGCTCCCTGTTCTCTTGGGTGGCACTATTCATAATAAAATGGCCAATATTTTCTCCACTGCAATTCTCTGTGTTTAGTACTAGTGCCAGGGTGGACAAGCTCTGTTCAGAAACATTACAAGCATTTTGTTCCCATTGATTGGTGGGGACAAACAGTTTGGCTAATTTTTTGTAAGACAAAAAATGGGAATTTGTAGGGTTTGGGGCTGACTCTATTTCAGGTAAGTGGGGGGCTATCCCCAAGTCCTACCTGAGTCATATTAAAAAAGGGTGGTTCTGCAATGGAATACTATTCAACCATATAAAAGAAGGAAATCCTTCCATTTGTGACAACATGGATGAATCTTGAGGGCATTATGCTAGGTGAAATGTTAGAGAGAGAGACAAATACTATATGATCTCAATTATATGTGGAATCTAAAAGAAAACCCAAAAAACAAAAAAATGAAATCAAGCTCATAGACCAGAGAACAGATTGGTGATTGCTAGAAGGAGTGGAGTGGGGAGGGGGGAAAATGGGTAAAAAGAGTCAAAAGGAACAAATGCCTACTTATAAAATAAGTCATGAAGATGCAATGTACAGCATGGTGGCTACACTTAATAATACTGTATGGCATATTTGAAAGTTGCCAAGAGAATAGATCTTAAAAGTTCTGATCATAAGAAAAAAAATTGTGTTAACTATGTGTGGTGACAGGTTTGTTGGTTTTTTTAAAGATTTTTTTATTGGGGAATTGGGGAAGGGGAACAGACAAGTTGCTGTCCTTTTGTTCTTCAGTCTAGTTGAGGAGGACGTCCCTTCACTGGCCCATGTTGGTATTATCATTGTGCTCTTCCCGGGTGAGGAAGATCAGTCGCCGGCCTCTGGATGGCTGCTCACGGCGGCTCTTGGCAGCTCACACCGGCTGCCGGCCGTTCACACCGGCTGCCGGCTGCTCACGGTAGCTTTCGGCAGCCCACTGCAGCTCCACTGCAGCTTACGCCAGTGCTGGCAACTCACAGCAGCCCAGCTCCAGGTCAAGCTGTTTTTCACCATCTTAGCTGTAGAGGGTGCAGCATCACTGGCCCTAATGTGGGATCCAAACCGGGCCCCGCTGCTCAGAGCTGGCGTCCCAAGCCAACTCTTAACCAATGCGTCACTTGGCCGGCCCAGGTGTTGCTGTTGTTGTTGTTTTCTTTATAGACTTATTGTGGTGACCAGTTTGCCATATATACAAATAGTGGCTCATATATTGTACACTTGATACTAATATAGTGTTGTATATCAATTATCCCTCAATAAAATAAATAAATAAGACATTTTAGAAAAAAACAACATGAATCCCTGGAGAACTTCTTTAACTGTTGCTGTTCTCCAGGATTATAAGGCTCAGATAAATTTCAGTATGGTCACTACCGATTATGAAACTAAGCAGAGTTCAAAAAGAGGTAATAAAAACAAATGTGATGCTAGAGAAAAAGGAATCTTAACATCTTAGACTAATAATAATCCACATGAAGTTGCTCAGGGATTCCGGTTATACACCTTGAATGGCATTAAAGGGCATGTTCATTATGGCTGTGTGGTGTTGTTTTTGTCACATACAAGAGCCGCCGTTAAATTTTGAAAGGTGTTCCTAAAAACTATATTCCTGAAGGGGACTGAATGGGAGTTGGAGAATGTTGGATTTCAGTTGACAGGTTACATGGAGCTCGTGCATCGTATTCCCACACAAGATCCTCTGGCCCTGAAGACAAGGGTCAGTTAGTGTAAACTGGCAGAACAGCCTCTGGGGACCTGGTGATAGGACTGATCTTATCAAACAACATTTGGAATCCTTGGAAATTTCTCTCTTCTTTACATTACCACTTCCTTTATTTTACTGGGTGCAGATTAAAGTCCACAGATTTGATTCTTAGGCATCTGTCTAGAGCCAACTCTTTTAGTCCTTCCTTCTAAAGGAGTTTCCCAGACCACAGCAGCTCTTAGTTTGAAAAATTTCCTCAATGATATGGGATACAAATTGTTTTCCATCTTTACAGAGTGAGCCTTTTAGAGGTGGAGCCTTGTTGGATAATGGGTGTGGCCACATCCTTGCCAAGTGAGGAGGAGAAACAAAGATGGGAATCACATGGCGACAACAGGGTTGTGTGAGGGACCTACCCTCAACGATTCCCCCAAACTACCTTGAGTCCCCAGGTTCTTGCACCCCTTCCACTCCCATGGACCATGTGGAGTAACAGGAGAATCTGTGATGTGACTGCCTGTCCACATGTGAGGGAAGCTTCTGCCCCCAAGAAACCTGGAGCACGAAGGTGTTTACATTACAGCTTTGTTTGCAAATTAACCAAGGGTAGCAATGGAGGACTGATTAGCAGTCTGCAATGGAAATGAACAGGAGTCTTTGAAAATGATGCCACAAATACATGGTTGATGATACACATGGAAGTCATCATATATGTTAAGTGATAAAGCAGATTACAGCTAAATGCACAGATCAGAATTTGTTTCTTTGTTGTTTGCCTGTGATTTTGTGTGACTGATTTTGTGTCACTATGTACTCATCCTGGTGTATGAGTGTGTGCAGGGGTTTTGTGAATTGTGGTGTCACAGAGTGTTGTTTCCACCCCCACTTTAGGTACTTGTATTTTCTCACATCTTGAAAGTGCATTGATTGAGGTACATTTTTAAAAAGCCTTTCTTTGAGGGCTTTGAGTCTTTTAAAACGTTACCTCAAATAAGTGTTTCATACTCCACATATCACTGTAGTTTACTTAAAAAAAATTTTTTTATTGGGGAATTTGGGGAGGGAACAGCATTAGGGAATCAGGGAAGGAAAACAGACAAGTTGCTATCCTTTTGTTCTTCAGTATAGTTGTGGAGGATGTCGCTTCACTGGCCCATGTTGGTATTGTGATCATTGCACTCTTCCTGGCTGAGGCAGATCAGTTACCAACCATGGGACTG